GTCGAACACAAAGGCAAACCACTCCGGCCAAAGCAAGCACCCTCCAAATGCTGATCAAATCGCCAGACCAGCAGAAACGAAAATATTTTCTCGAGATTTAGCTGAGCTAAAAAAAATAGCATCACGAGCAATGCATCTGAGGAGCAATACACAATGTGGACACGCCTTTAGCCAAGTGTCAGTGCATGACACTGTTGAACCCAACAGAATTTTTTTGAGCGATTCTCAGTCATGATTTAGGCAGATTATGGACGATCGAAGCTGCTGAGTTTAACTCAATTTGGCCCCGAAACAACAATTTAGAATGCCAAGCAAGTCTGAATCACGCACATTGGCGTCGCTTGCAAGCGTCAGACTGTTAAACATAACAAAGTTTGTCATCCTACAAGTAAACATTCAATGCGCGCCGCCAACGATCATCAAAACAAGGGAATGCACGCTTGAAAAGGTGAGAAAGTAACACTAAAATTTAAACTTGTGCGCGTTACACAAAACAAAGCGAAAAGTTGACTTACATTTACGTACATACTAACACGTAATGCAAAACACAGAAGGTACTTTAAACAGGGGTTTTTATTAATAAATTATAAATAAACACACTGACTATTACCTTTTTGAAATATTATGAAAACAAAATTAATCAAACAAACATATTAATGTGAGCTTCTTCGATGACAAGGCAAGTAAAACTTACAAAAATTTAGACTCATTCCTTGCTCAATGGCTTACGACAAAAGTAGAAAAACAATTTCTAAAGCTAATACAATGTCTATTCCTAGTAACGGCAAGACGGGGCCCCTCTCAGACGAACTCTGGAGAGTCGCGCATTCCACAGCTTCTGAGGGTTGCGGTCTGGACAAAAGGACGACGAATCAACCCTTTCGCTGAACTCAGTAGCAGCGACTTTTGACCCGCAGCCGCTGAACTCGAAGAAAGGGGCATCTGCACTGCATCGTTTACGCCGCCCGTTCGACCAGTGACCCTTTCGCCACGGTGGGGAACGACCGCTTGTGTTACAGCTCAAGCGCTCACAACGTTTCCCCACTTGCTTGCATCTACAAGGCAGAGAAAAGGATGAGACCAGGCGGTGATTTCGGCGTTCCAATTTTCCCGAAAGCCGGTTTTTCTGAACACGCTGTCCGCCAAATCTTAATGTGCGTGACAATCTGCGCTTCAAACATTTCATGGGGTGCCCTTTCGTTCGCCTAGCCTTGAACCTGGCGTCTCGAATGAAGACGTCACGGCGCTTAACAACGGCTCTAGCGCACGTGGCGCGCGTCGCCTTTACCACGTTACGCTTCCGCAGATGCCTCCTTTTGACGGAATGGCTAGGAATGCCGGCTGTTTCGACACACCTAATTTCAAGTGCGCTGCCTTTGACAGGCACTTCCAAGACTCTAGACTGGTTAGCTAGCCTTTCTTCGGGCCCGTTGCTAGCTGTCTCTGCTTGCGACAGAACGGGATTCCCGATGCCATCAAAGCCAACCAACACGCCTAGAGAGCTTTTGATGTGTGAGGGTCTATCGATGTCGTGGATAACCCTAATTCTCTGGCCTTCGAACTTGGCCTCATGCTCTCTTTGACGCGATTCATTCTGTAGCGCTTTATCTCGCGCATACTGCTCAATATTTTGTCGACATGCGTCAACCTCTAGCGCCTTGCGATGCGACTGGCCGTCAAGCTCTTTTTGACGCGATGCATCTTGATCATGTGCGCTGCGAAGCGGCTTCGTCTCTGGCGCTTTACGATGTGCCTCTGCGTCCCGAGGTTTCCGATGGGCCTCCGCCCCTAACTCTTCGTGAGGCTCCTCAGTGCCCGGATCTCTCTGGCGCACTTCGGTGTCTTGCACCTTGTGACGGGCCTCAACGTCAGATGCCTGGCGACTTTCCTCATCCTGAAGCGCTGCGCGACGGGCCTCCATCGCTTTACTGCGCGCGTCGTCCTCCAGCGCTTTACGACGCGCCTCGTCCTCTCGCTCTTTTTGGCGGGCGTCTACCTTTAGCGCCCTTCGACGCGCTTCAGCGCTGTCGCTATCCCTCTGACTTTCCCAGTCAGCAGGACTCGAAAGAAAAAAATATCTTATCAAGGCATGTCTAGCATGACTGAAGTCTCCTGCTTCCTCGAAGGGTAAGCAATTCAAAACATGCGCGATCTTGCTCGGCAACAACGTGGCGAGCTTCTCCACCAAAGGTCGCGGCTAACACCCACATTACTGCAAACAACTTCAAAATCATCCAGAAAATGCGCGATGTTTTCGCCTGTCTGAAAGTTGTGCAGCTGCTGTTTGGCTCGCTCCCACTTAAGTGCTTGAATTTTAAGGTCAAGCTCTCTCATTTTGAGAGCATGCTCTTTCCTTTTGCGACACTCCTCGGCCTTCCGCTTTTGCTCACAAACGAGCTCCCAAAACTCGTCAGCTTCCTCGGCCGTCACATCCTCTGCCCGCATCACCTCGAGAATCGCTTCCCTTGTTTTAGCGGGCCTAGCGGAAATCCCCATGGCTCCACAAATTTCAAGGAGGTCCTGCACCAGGTACTGCTCCATCGCGATCTCGTCCCTCGTGATGCTCTACTACTGATATTCACCGTACTTTAAAACTAATCTCGTGGTTTAAAGTAGGTGAATATTTAAATTACAACTAAAAAAACACAAAACGCTCGCCTAACATCTGCCTGTGCTAGAGAGGTCTGGCGAAAGGAACAGTAAACGTTGGGCACTCACCCAACCAAAGTAGCCAACGATGGTCCAACTCGTGGCTGCCATCGAACAGTATCAGGCCTTCAGGGATCCGGTCCAACTTGCCAATGTTGAGTTCCGGGGTTGCTTGTCCCAGCTTGCCGAACGATGAGAGCAGGGGTAGCGTATCGCAGCGTAGCCAAACGCTATCACGGCGGTCGTCCTCGTGCTCGGAGATGCGATCCAACTTTTCAGCCGTTGAGATCCGGGTAGCGGGTCCCAGAGCAGCAAAACGTTGAGGACAGGGGTCTGATCCGGCGTGCCAAACGTAAGATATCGTATCCCGAAGCTGCCAACCACTGTTATGAATTTGCTCTGTCGCGGTGGTAGCGGCGGCGAAGAGCGGCGTGCCGTCGAGCGGACTTCGATGAAGCCTTAGCCCGAAGGTGAAACAGGGATCCAATTCGTATGGAAAACAGCAACAAAAGTAGCGTTTACTGTAGCAGGTTGTCGTTTTACAGAGCCGGCCAGCACGACAACGTCGGCTGGGGCAAAATCTCCTAACATGGGTCCGGCACGGCCTTAAATAGCGTTTTTGGTCCATTCTCTCAGACCAGTTCTCGGGCTCGGAGGGGGAGACGTAGCCATACCCGGAACTGCAAAGTGGTTCGGCGGAGCAAACGACGTTATCCCCGGACTGCACGGTTCTCCTGCACAGAAGGCGACGCTGGGAGGGGGGAGACAGTTCGTCGAAACAGGGCTCGATCTTGTGAGACGTGCTCCCGAACGAGGAACATGTCTGTGGCACAACAGCGGACAACCTTGTCTGGGGCTCGAATTCTAGCAGCAGTTGGGCTGGTGATTTGCCACGCTCGAGAGGCGTAGATCTCTAATGGAACAGAAGACGAGACAATTTTTCTTGCAATGTGCCGTGCTTGTTTTTTTTGAGGCCCTCTTTTATTGTTCGCACCGCTCGCTCCGCTAGTCCATTTGATTGAGGGTAGTACGGCGCCGTCCGGGCATGGCGTAAGCTATTTTCTCGCATGAAATCTGCCATCGTTGCACTCGAAAACTGGGGGCCGTTGTCAGAAACCACACACTGTGGAATATCAAAACGAGCAAAAATTTCCCTAAGCAAGTAAATAGTTGTGTCCGTGGTAGCTGTTTTTAGCGGCACTGCTTCTATCTACATTGTTTCCGCGTCAACTAGGACAAAAATTAGGTACCCATCAACAGGACCTGCAAAATCCATGTGAACTCGGAACCGCCGCTTCCCTGTCTTAGGCCAAGGTGATGGCACTTGCGCCGGCGGCATAGACCACCCTTGCACGCACTGAGGACAGTTTTGCACCAACCTTTCAATATCTTTGCCCAATCCTGAGTACCAGAACAGCGTGCGAGCGAGCCTGTTCATGGCCCCAACACCTGGGTGCGTGTCGTGCAGCTCGTTGAGTAGGCACTGACGGGCTGCTTCGGCGCGATCACACGATGACCCCAGTAAACGAGGCTATGACTCACAACAAGTTCATGTCGGCGCGCGAAGTACGGTTGCAGATGATGCTGCTGTCCTGTAAGAAGTGATGGCCAGCCCTGCTCGATCTACTCCCGGATTTGCCAAAGTGTGCTGTCCTCCTGGGTCAAATAAATGATTTGGTTAGACAGAAGTGCACTTGCGTCCAGACCCTGCGTATACAGTACGTATTCTGTCACTTTTTGACTTCCATGTTCATGGTCTCCTGGCAAAGCCAAGCGACTGAGGGCATCTGCGTTACCGTTTTCGGTTCCCTTGCGGTATTTTAGATTGTACTGGTAAGCTGACAGAAGAAACGCCCAACGCTGAATTTGAGCTGCCGCCATCTGCGGGATGGGCTCGTTGGGGTGGAAAAGCGCGGTGAGGGGCTAATGAACTGTCACCAGCGTGAAACGGTTCCCCTGCAAGAAATCGCGGAATTTGCAAATTCCAAACACCAAGGCGAGTGCTTATTTCTCTATTTGAGAATAATTGCGTTCTGCTGTCGTCAGCGTTCTTGAACGAAAAGCTATCGGGTGATCCAGCCATCGATGCGATGCGATAATTCTGCCCCTAAGCCACCTGATGAAGCATCACACTTCAGTCGCAACTCTTTCTGCGGATCGTAGTGAACCAGAAAATTCGCCTTTACCAAGGCGCGCTTCGCTCCTTCGAAGGCTATTTGATGCTCTATTTCCCAATGCCAGCATTGTCCCTTGTCCAGTAAGTGATAGAGCGGAGCCAAGGTCGTGGCTGAATTCGGCAAAAATTTCTAGTAATAGGTTATGAGCCCCAGAAATGACTTGCGTTGGCTTACCGATGCTGGCGTTCGAGCAGCTGTTACGGCTTCGAGGTTGTCCCGCAGTGGGTGAAGGCTGGTTGCATCAATTTTGTGGCCCAGAAACTGCACTTCTTTTTCACGGAACCGACATTTGGCTTTGTTCAGTTGGAGGCCATTGTCGCGAAGTCTCTGAAAAACTTGTCGAAGTGTGGCAGTGTCCCCTTCTTTCTCGGCGATTATGACGTCGTCTAGGTATACAAGTACTTTTGGAAAATTCCAGAATAATGACTCATTGCGCCACTGGAACAATGCGGGAGCTGACGAGATGCCAAAGGCTAGTCGGTTGTACGAGTACAAGCCCAGGTGCGTATTGATGACAGTCATCATCTTCGCTTCTTCATCAAGCGGGAGCTGGTTATGGGCATTGCTCAAATCCAGTTTAGTGAAGACTTCTCTCCCGTAAAGCGCGGCAAAAATATCATCCACCTTAGGCAAAGGGTATTGTTCCAGGTGAGTGGCCTGATTCACGGTGAGCTTAAAGTCACCGCACAATCTGAAGGCTCCACTTATCTTCACCACTGGTACGACGGGAGCAGCCCATTCGGAAACGCTCACCGAAGTTAGCACACCTTGCTGCACGAGGTGGTCGATTTCTGCTGAGACTGCTTTGCGAAGCGCGACGGGCACCGGGCGGGCCTTCGAAAACCGAGGCACGGCCCCTTCTTTCTTGTACAGCTTGACAGGCGGATCTTTGTAACAGCCGAGCCGATCTTGAAATAAGTCTGTGAGCTCTTCCAGCAGCCCTTTTAAGTCAACTTCCGCCTGACGCGCGTAAACACTCGGAAGAGCCCTTTCTCCTAAAAGTGACACGCCCGCTTCACGGCAAGCCTGATTGATGTTTCGGCCGCACAGTAGTGGACCGTCACAATCCACTACCACAAGCGAACTATTCACTCGTGTCTTGTCGTATTCGACGCTCATGACGACTCTGCCAACCACTGGAAGAGGACCGAGGAAGCAGGATAGCCGAAGTGGCGTTTTTTCTATTCTTGGCCACCACTTACGGTTTTTCCTGAAGACCTTTTCTAAAATCACGCTAACTGATGAACCCATGTCGATCAGCATCCGCAGTGTCCTGCTGCCCCAGACAAGGCACCGTTCAATGGGCCGTGTATTTGGCTGGTCAACGTTGTTCTGGGCAGATAGGTCGAAAAGCATTTCCTCCTTACTGTCCTCTGCGTCCGAAAGCTTTCTTAGCGCGTATGATCCTTGCCGGCCACTGCGCCTGCCCTGGCACATCCTAGCCAAGTGTCCTTTGGTGCCGCACTTGTGGCACACCTTCCCGAAATGATGGCATTCGTGTTCTGAGTGGTTGGAGCCACACCTCCAGCATGAGTGACGCGGTGCGCTTGTGTCGTACGCGCTGCCTCTTTTTTTTCCGTTGCTACGACGCCTTTGAACCAAGTGCACTTAACCCGCGTCGTCCTCGCCGTTTACATCTTTCATGGACCTGAGGTTATGGGCAGCTGTTTCTGACGACATGGCGAATTCCTCAGCTTCCTGCACAGTCAGCATTATTTTGGGTCAGCAGAAACCACCTGGCCTCATCATCCCGTATGCCGCACACTCTCCTGTCACGTAACATTCTGTCCAGAAATCTGCCGAAGTTGCAGTCTTTTGCAAGACGTCGCAAGTCTGCGACAAAATCTTTGACCATCACGTTGTGTCCTTGCTTCCGCACAAAAATGCGTGACTTTTTGCAGTCTCATTTACCTGCGGTTTGTAGTGTTCTTCCAACACCTTTGAGACATCTTCGTACGTTAGGCTGTTCACGGGCGTCGACGGACATCGTTCCTGAATGACTCGAACCACGCTGTCACTAAGTGAGGCTACCAAGAGTGCCCGACGCTTTGAGGAGCCCGTGATATCATTGCCTTGAAAGTAGGCCTCGAGACGCACTCGGTAGGCATCCCAGATGTACGCTGCCTCGTCAAACTCCGGCGGCCTCGATCACATCCTCGTCGCCAGAGAAGTCACGCACCGAACTGGCAACACGAACTTAACAGTTTATTCCTTGATACATGGTCTTTTTATAGTCTGAAACCACGTGAGACACGAGTGACAGCCGAGTACATCGGGGCTGGCGTGCTAGCAAGTGATAAGGGGATGGGCGCGTGATAGTGGTTTATTGCCAACGCTCCACCCTCCTTTTAGGGGCGAAGCTCTTTAAAGCGGCACCCGTTCGTTCCTTGTCGTAATCGTCGTGCATAATCAGTGTTACACTTTGACCTGCAAGGTGGTGCCGGTGGGAGATTTCTCCAGTGCATTGTTGAACAACAAAACATTCGCAACGTGCGCGTTAACTAAAATATGAATTATCTTGTCACTCATTCCCAATTAGCAGCCAATGATATGTATATTAAGCACAATCTGACAAAAAAAGGGTTGCTAGGTTATACTCGCTGGGCGTAACCTCGTTGGTTTTAGAAAGGTTTGCGAGAGTTGGGCCGCAGTGCCTTGAATACACTGAACTAGTACATATCGTGAACTCGAGGTGGTTAAAGGTGGGAAGTAGACACGAAGCGCATGCCGTAAGAAATTGTGCGTGTGCCAGCTCCCGTTTAGTCTATGGAATGTCCGCTGGATGGCGGTGCTTCTATATGTGGAATATATAATAAAAAGATGCGAGATGGTGGTACTTGGAGTGATGACTTGATGGCGAACGGACACACAGACCAAGGCATGGACGGACGCACGGATGGATGCACAGACGAATGGACGCATGGATGGACACAGGGGCAGATGCCTGGACGAACGCAGGGATAGACTCGCGGATGGACGTGGGGGTGCACGAACAGACGCACGCACGGATGGGCAGATGGACGCACGGATGGTCACACAGACGGGCGCATATATGAAGAAAAGATTCTGGAAGAAATCTAGAAAGGATCAACTGCTACCATAGTGCTTAATAACGAAAGCAACAGAATACCAATCAAGAAGGGTGTAAGGCAGGAGACACAATCTCCCCAATGCTATTTACCGCGTGCTTACAGAAGGTTTTCAGAAGCCTAGAATGGGAACAGTTAGGGATAAGAGTTAATGGAGAGTACCTTAGTAACCTGCGTTTCACCGATAACATTTCATTGCTGAGTAACACAGGGGACGAATCACAACTCATGATAACGGAGTTAGACAAGGACAGCAGAAAGGTGGGTTTTAAAATTAATCTTCAGAAAACGAAAGTAAAGTACAACAACCTCGGAAACGATCAGCGCATCGAGATAGGTAATATTGCACTTCAAGTTCTAAAAGTCTGTGTCTACTTAGGGCAGGTAATAACAACAGAGCCGAACCAGGAGATTGAAGTAACTAGAAGAATAAGAATGGGGTTGAGCACATTCGGCAAGCACTCTCATATTATGACAGGTAGATTGCCACTATCCCTCAAGAGGAAGGTCTATATCAGCTTTATCTTGCCGGTACTTAGCTACGGAGCAAAAACCTGGAGACTTACAAAGAGGGTTCAGCTTAAATTGAAGATGACGCAGCGAGCAATGAAAAAAAAATGGTAGATGTAACCTTAAGAGACAAGAAGAGAGCAGAGTGGTTTAGGGAACAAACGGGTATTATCGATATCATAGTCAAAATCAAGAAGAGCAAATAGACTTGGGCTGGCCAGTATAGCTAGTAGACAGCACAACCGCTGGTCATTAAGGGTAACTAACTGGATTCTCAGAGAAGGGAAGCGGGTTAGGGGGAGAAACAAGGTTAGGTGGGCAGATGAGATTAAGAAGTTTGCGGGTATAAATTGGCAGCAGCAAGCACTGGACCCGCTTAACTGGCGGAACATGGGAGAGGCCTTTGTCCTGCAGTGGCGGTGATGATGATGATGATGAAGAAAAGATGCGAGATGGTGGTACTTGGAATGCTGACTTGATGGCGAACGGACATACAGACAGTAGCATGGACGTACGCACGTATGGCTGCATGGACGAATAGACGCATGGAAGGATGCAGGGGCGGATACAAGGACGAACGCAGGGATGGACGCGGATGGACGTGCCGACGCTAGAACAGACACACGCAGGGGCGGGCGAATGAACGCACGGGCAGTCACAGACGGACGCATGGACGGATGGTAGCAAGAACGAATGGACGGACGGATGCTTCGGCCCACTCTCCATCATTCAACCCGTGGAGAACTCTGTTATGTTTTTCTCTTCCTTTTTCCTTTCCAGCCAAGCACTCCTGCCACTTTCGTCGTTGTCTGTTTCAAACTCTTGTTATGGCGCGCACCTTGAACTTTCACGCACGTCACTTATCACAGTCGGGTTTCGAACGCTTTACCAACAGGCGTTTTTTATCCTGGTATTCGCGGCCGCACAAACATGTGATGCTGTTAAAACTGACCACCTAGAGAATAAAGATTAGAATACAGCATCTAGATAAGAATAAATATCATAAATAATGAATTTCTTTTTTTCCGTCATTAAAGTCATTGTTTCTTTAGGATTCAATATTCAATAATACAGTGAGAACCTAAATCTTCGTGTAATGTGGCTGATTCTGTGCACCAAGCAAGCCTACATGAGTAAATTTTCTTGATAACGTCGTAAGCTTACTGCAGTGTGACCCAATACCAATGTTTATGGGCCTGTAAGCAGAACAAAAATGTGCCTATGAAGTTTCTAACATTGTTCAGGTCGCTGAGCGAAGAAAACCGAGGTGGCTGTGTGTCCGAACCTGTTTTCCAAGCTTGATGTGAACGATTTTAAAGTTTCAGGAAAATAAAGGGGTTATTTCTTTATGTATGCCATATGCAGCATTTAGGAAAGTTGAGAGCTAGTAAGCAGTCGAATACTTTGTTGAACACCTATGAAGCATACCAGACTTCGAGCTAGACAAACTCTACTTTTATACGACAGGAACCTATTGAGCGACGCAAAGGGAAAGAGATTTTCATAATGAAGAACTGGTATCTCCGGTTGGCAAAGTGCTGTAACAGCAACAAATGTGTTAGAATGTGAAGGCGAAATCACGTACTTAAAAATAGCTGAACAAGCATTTGTTGCGTAATTCAGAAACTAAAGCGTGGCGCCGCCAATCAGGTAGCGTTATTACACTATAGAAAACTCTATCAGTGCAGCAATGCAGCCAGAGGAACACCAACTTACATTCAAAGGCTACTCTAATGCCTCTGTTGCCTCTGTTTGAAGGTGGTACTGTTCTACACGCAATGATGAAGTACATACATTTCCTGGAAACGTTCATTCGGTATTTGGTGTACACCACAATATTTATGGTAACATTGTAAATACTGCTATGAAACTGAAATAAACAACCCTGATTTTCGGATACAGACATCACTAAATCTTAAGTATCATGCTCTACTCATTTCAGTCACCACTGCATTTAGGCGTCATTCCAGGCGAAGGTTGGGTAAGTATTTCATCCCAAGATAAATAATGTTAAATTTAAGGTCAGCAAAATGTTCCTCACATAGTCTTCCTGGTTACTAGCGCCAACTGGACTCACAACACTTAAGCGGGCACTTGCTCTGGCACTAATAGACCCTTTGCATAAATACGCCACCTGACAGTGAGCTTTGATTCGGTTTTGCTACGCAAAGGAATGTTGGATAGCAAGCGCGATCATGAGGGCTTGGATAGCTAGCGCCATCATGAGGGCATGGATAGCGAACCGTCAAAGGCGTGAGTTCTGCGATGCTTGTGTTGGTGGCAAGTTCTCCATATCATCCGCTGCAACCACACCGCTTTCTAGCTTGAACGAGCTCTTAGTATTCTCCGATAAGCTTTCTTAGCTGTTTCCGTTCCACAATGAGCAAAATTTCTTACCCTTCGCTGGCTTTGTCGAGCAGTTTGGCTTATGACTAACAATGCATGGATCCAGCCTGCACGAGAATCTCATCGGCGTGCCTTCCCGACGTGGCCCACGTGCTGCAGGAACGCAAGATGTGTCTGTGTGTGCTGCAAGAAATGAGCATCCGTGTCGCTGGGACACACACACATGACCAGACTGGAAAGGCACGCGAGCGTTCCGTCTTATGGCCTTCGCAGTGCGTCTGTTTCCACCTCCAACCACAGCACCGTGTTGTCGCTGCGACCCTGCTATTGCTCCCCGTTGCGTTCGTGACTGTGTCACAGAACGAGTGCTAAAAATGGGCGCGCCGCCAAATTCTTGCGATAACGGGCGGGAGAAACGCCGCGAGGTCAAAAGAAAAAAAAAGAAAACAAACATCCAAGGCTCCCCGGGAGCGCGCTCTCCCCGCGGAAGCG